TAGTTGTTTGAGCCTTTAAATTCCTATTTTCGTGTTGTATTCTTAGTTGTGTGTGGCCTTTAAATTCCTAGTTTTGTTCAGTGTTCTTAGTTGTGTGTGGCCTTTAAATTCCCAGTTTTGTGTTGTATTCTTAGTTGTGTGGACTTTAAATTCCTAGTTTTGTGTTGTATTCTTTGTTGTGGGTGGCCTTTAAATTCCTAGTTTTGTGTTGTATTCTTAGTTGTTTGAGCCTTTAAATTCCTATTTTCGTGTTGTATTCTTAGTTGTGTGTGGCCTTTAAATTCCTAGTTTTGTTCAGTGTTCTTAGTTGTGTGTGGCCTTTAAATTCCCAGTTTTGTGTTGTATTCTTAGTTGTGTGGACTTTAAATTCCTAGTTTTGTGTTGTATTCTTTGTTGTGGGTGGCCTTTAAATTCCTAGTTTTGTGTTGTATTCTTAGTTGTTTGAGCCTTTAAATTCCTAGTTTTGTGTTGTATTCTTTGTTGTGGGTGGCCTTGAATTTTCTAGTTTTGTGTTGTATTCTTAGTTGTGTATGGCCTTACATTCCTAGTTTTGTGTTGTATTCTTATTTGTGTGTGGTTTTTAAATTCCTAGTTTTGTGTTGTATTCTTATTTGTGTGTGGTCTTTAAATTCATAGTTTTGTGTTGCATTCTTATTTGTGTGTGGTCTTTAAATTCATAGTTTTGTGTTGCATTCTTATTTGTGTGTGGTCTTTAAATTCCTAGTTTTGTGTTGCATTCTAGTTGTGTGTGGTCTTTAAATTCCTAGTTTTGTGTTGTATTCTTATTTGTTTGTGGTCTTTAAATTCCTAGTTTTGTGTTGCATTCTTAGTTGTGTGTGGTCTTTAAATTCATAATTTTGTGTTGCATTTTTTTGTGTGTGGTCTTTAAATTCATAGTTTTGTGTTGCATTCTTATTTGTGTGTGGTCTTTAAATTCCTAGAAGCACAGAAAGAGCTACAAATCAAATTAAAAGAAATGTAAATAACAGCCAATTTGAGAGCAATGGAAAATAGACTCACGGCTCCAGCCGGTCAGGGTTTGCGATGCAATTAAATTTGCAAAAGTAATCTCTAAATTTTCAGAAAAAGAGGTTGACCAATATTTTGCGCAGTTTGAGATAACTGCCCAAAATTTTAAAATTCCTGAAATTATGTGGTCCACCTTATTTCAACCAGCCTTGACCGGAAGGGCATCCGAAGTCTTTGTATCATTGAATGCGGAACAGCGCGGGGACTATAACCTAGTAAAATCATTAATACTTAAGGCTTATGAATGTGTCCCCGAAGCATACCGTAAAAGGTTTAGGGAACTGTGGAAACGTGATGGCCAGACTCATGTTGAGTTCCTCCGGGGAAAGGAACGGCTCCTGGACAAGTGGCTGCACGCAACCAACACCGAGACAGACTTCAAGAAATTCAAGAACCTCATTCTGATGGAGGAGTTCAAGAACTGTGTTCGTACTGAGGTGCGAATACATATTGCAGACCGTGGCGAAGGTGACGCACATACGGCAGCAGTGTTAGCTGACGACTTCACTATCTCACATCAACTTTCCAAGAATCCATCTGACACCAAAAATGAAAGGCACAATAAGACAACATTAACTTACAGTATACCTCCACAAAAACCATTCAAGCCCGGTACGAAAGAAATTGGTGCAAAAGACACATGTGCCTACTGTAAAAAATCAAAATTTTACGAGATACAGGTGCTTCACAGTCCTTGCTACTTGAGGGTATACTTCCCCTATCTGAATCTACTGCTACTGGGAGCAACATCCTGTTACGAGGTGTAGAGCTGGGATGCATAGATGTACCTTTACATCTCATCAACCTAAAATCTGACTTAGTCTCCGGACCTGTGGTTGTGTTATTTTGTGTTGCATTTTTTTGTGTGTGGTCTTTAAATTCATAGTTTTGTGTTGCATTCTTATTTGTGTGTGGTCTTTAAATTCCTAGTTTTGTGTTGCATTCTTAGTTGTGTGTGGTTTTTAAATTCATAGTTTTGTGTTGTATTCTTGTTGTTTGTGGCTGTTATAGAGAGCTTGTTTACATAATATTTCTCGTGCGTGCCCTCTGATTGACCCCGCTTGAGACGCTGTGTTCACAAAAGGGTGTGGCTTAGGCTTTTGATGTATTCTTGTTTACACCGCCAGCTACTAAAAATAATTAATCTGTTCCAAGTTGTGTTTTGTAGAATAAATGGGATTTTTCTAGAAATGTCATGCAACTTGTAGAAGGTAGGGCTTAGGCGTCGGTAGACCCACCTATATAAGGGATTGACAGGCACGGACGAGAGAGGGAGATTTCAGATAGATTTTCTTAACATTACGAGGCGTGTTTTATTCTTTGTGTATTTGTGTGCTCATATGTGTTTATTTCGCATTATTTATTGGCAAATTATTCTAACTGTGTTAACTGTGTACCGGTACAAGATCTACCATACTGTAAGTTGAAGATTGTAATTATATTTTTCTTTTCTTTTGTAATTATCTTAAGACATAATAAATCTTATTAATTGTAACTAGAAACTGTTTTGGGTCGTATCTATAATATTGTTGATTCTATGGTATCGTCCTTTGTTAGGCACTGCTTACAACGAGCCAATTAAAATTAAAATAGGAGATTAATTTCTCCCAATACAAGTCAGTGCGTAACAGTGGCCTTTAAATTCCTAGTTTTGTGTTGTATTCTTATTTGTGTGTGGTTTTTAAATTCCTAGTTTTGTGTTGTATTCTTATTTGTGTCTGGCCTTTAAATTCCTAGTTTTGTGTTGTATTCTTATTTGTGTTTGGTCTTTAAATTCCTAGTTTTGTGTTGTATTCTTATTTGCGTGTGGCCTTTAAATTCATAGTTTTGTGTTGTATTCTTAGCTGCGTGTAGCTTTGCGGTCATCAAAGATCCGAGGCGAAATTTTTTAATAGAATTGAAATAAAAGCACTTTGTGAAATGAGGGCGCAGCCCAGGACGTCATATTTAAAGAGCCCCAAAATCATCACTTGCATGAAAAATATAGATGGAATTATTAAACTATACGAGGAAGAGGACATCGAAATTTGAGCTTTGCTCTGGGCACAACTTTTGCCTACCATGCCCTGTTCTTTGCTCTGGGCACAACCTTTGCCTACCATTGCCCTCTTCTTTGCTCTGGGCACAACCTTTGCCTACCATTGCCTTGTTCTTTGCTCTGGGCACAACCTTTGCCTACCATGGCCCTGTTCTTTGCTCTGGGCACAACCTTTGCCTACCATTGCCCTGTTCTTTGCTCTGGGCACAACCTTTGCCTACCATTGCCCTGTTCTTTGCTCTGGGCACAACCTTTGGCTACCATGGCCCTGTTCTTTGCTCTGGGCACAACCTTTGCCTACCATTGCTCTGTTCTTTGCTCTGGGCACAACTTTTGCCTACCATTGCCCTGTTCTTTGCTCTGGGCACAACCTTTGCCTACCATGGCCCTGTTCTTTGCTCTGGGAACAACCTTTGCCTACCATTGCCCTGTTTATAGCACTTATTAAAAGACATATGAGTATCAGACAATTCATACAAATAAAACAAGAAAATGACCATTTTGAACAGCTTTTTATGTGCTCACAACGGAACGAACCACTTCGAAGTGATATAACACTATCGATGTGAAAACAATATCTATGCAAGCCCATAACACTACCAAAGTGAAAATAATATCTATGTTTAGCCCATAACACTACCAAAGTGAAAACAATATCTATATTTAGCCTATAGCACTACCGATGTGAGAACAATATCTATGTTCAGCATATACTATTTATGGTCGTATTTTCTCTATATTGCAGTGAAAACAGAGTTCCCATGAAACGATGTTTTAGAACTTACAGTGTTATTATTATTTTTTTTTAAATACTAGCCAGTGGTGTAATAGGGTTGGGTGGAAAGAAATTCTGCAGTTGGACGAAAATGAATCTCCTCCATTGAAATTAAGAAATCCCTCCCGGGGCGAATCGCCCCACCTGCCCCCCCCCCCACTTTTCCCTACACCACGAATGCTTATTTACGCTATTTTATTTAGCGAGAGTAACATTTACACTTTGACACTTCAGGATCAACCCGAAACAGAAAATGAGGTAGGGCAAGGAGGGTGCATCACAGGTCATAGGCGGACCTAAACAGATGAGTTTTAAGGGACTTTTTGAAAATGGACGAGGTTTCACTGTGACGTATATGGAAGGGGAGCTGGTTCCAGAACGTGGGCCCATGGAAGCAGAAGGAGCGTTCACCGATGGTCTTAGTTTTAGTTCTTGGGATTGAGAGGGTTCTACTGTCAATGGAAGAACGTAGTTGTCTTGTGGGGATGTAAGGAAGCAACAGTTCAGAGAGATAGACAGGAAAGTGAGGACATAAGATCCCATAATTCCATTATCCCACAAAACGTCGATCCCATACTTGCATGATACTTCCATGCTTTGATGAGCAGTGAGCTATGATTACAAGATGACATTATCCCATGAGCCCACGATCCCACGAAGCCATATCCCATAAGTTCCACGATCCCACGAAGCCAAATCCCATGAGTCCCATCATCCTACGAAGCCATATCCCAGGATGCCAATTCCAATTATTTAGCTAAAAGTTTAAAAATTAATTACACATAATGATCAGTTGTCTTAGGGATCTCCCACAGTGCGGCACAGTAACAACCAGAATCTTGATCAAATACCGATTCAGTTGACATAGTGCGGCACAGTAACAACCAGAATCTTGATCAAATACCGATTCAGTTCACATAGTGCGGCACAGTAACAACCAGAATCTTGATCAAATACCGATTCAGTTGACATAGTGCGGCACAGTAACAACCAGAATCTTGATCAAATACCGATTCAGTTCACATAGTGCGGCAGAGTAACAGCCAGAATCTTGATCATATGACATTTAAGTTGGCATAGTGTGGCACAGTAACAGGCAGAATCTTGATCAGATCAGTTGCCATGATGCAGGTCCACCAGGATCTACCGACCACACAGTTTAAACTATTCCTTACGTTGTGGGCATTTATGGAGAACCTTTTATTCTCTGGTTTGCGGGCTGGATGGCCCGCTCTGGTGTACGTCCTTAAGCAAGAGCGCGTGTACTCACATTTGTGTACAGAACATGGTGTACTTGGGAGTAACGTTACACAAACAGGTACCGTCATCAGCAGAAAGGAACGAGCTCCTATAGGTATAACAATGCATCAAGCTCTTAATTCAAATGCACACGTTGTGAATACCACTGTGATCAACGCGATGTCCTTACTGGGCACGTCAGCTGACAGATTGGCGACTTCTAATTGGACGTCTGGTGGCAGCGCTTCTAACAGACTTCCAGAATATGCCGTCAACTTGACTAATCAGGAGCTGACCGGGCATTTGAAGACCGCATGTGACGCACAAGACGCCATCTTTAACCAATGCTTCACAGTGGCTACAGCCACCATGGCACTCAGTGGACTGTTGTATGGACAACTGAATTACAAATATGGAATCAGGGTGCCACGGGTATTATCAGTGTGAGTTGAAAAGTATAAGATGATCTAAAAATATCAACTTACAACTTATTATACGTAAGTCGTACTTATGCCCATCGCAATTCTTAAACTTTATTTTTTGATTGTCTCAGGGAATGAGCCGAAGAAAGCTATGTTCCCTCCTGTTCTTATAGACCATGCGCTGTTTCACATATTACTATCATCTATTTTTCTCTCTTGTCTTTCCCAATCCTCCGTGAAACTTCTCTTACGCGAGGCTCTCTTTTCATGTTGTACTTCTAACATTAATTATCTCCCTCTCTTTCTCTCTCTCACAACAAGGCACGCATCTCTTATTCTCTCTCAGTATCTCACTCTCTTTCTCTCTCTCACAACAAGGCACGCATCTCTTATTCTCTCTCAGTATCTCACTCTCTTTCTCTCTCTCACAACAAGGCACGCATCTCTTATTCTCTCTCAGTATCTCACTCTCTTTCTCTCTCTCACAACAAGGCACGCATCTCTTATTCTCTCTCAGTATCTCACTCTCTTTCTCTCTCTCACAACAAGGCACGCATCTCTTATTCTCTCTCAGTATCTCACTCTCTTTCTCTCTCTCACAACAAGGCACGCATCTCTTATTCTCTCTCAGTATCTCACTCTCTTTCTCTCTCTCACAACAAGGCACGCATCTCTTATTCTCTCTCAGTATCTCACTCTCTTTCTCTCTCTCACAACAACGCACGCATCTCTTATTCTCTCTCAGTATCTCACTCTCTTTCTCTCTCTCACAACAACGCACGCATCTCTTATTCTCTCTCAGTATCTCACTCTCTTTCTCTCTCTCACAACAACGCACGCATCTCTTATTCTCTCTCAGTATCTCACTCTCTTTCTCTCTCTCACAACAACGCACGCATCTCTTATTCTCTCTCAGTATCTCACTCTCTTTCTCTCTCTCACAACAACGCACGCATCTCTTATTCTCTCTCAGTATCTCACTCTCTCTCTCTAACGCACTCCTTTTATGACGTAGTCCTTCACTCTTTGTATATATAAATGAATGCAATGCTTTTCAATACTCTGGCTTCTACTTTGCTTCGGTCATTTTGATCCGTGTGTTTGAGAATAGCTGGCATTTTGTACGAAACGCAATCAACCAATTTGTAGAAGGAATATAGTTCGAACGGACGTTCGTTCAAATAAAAATAAGCTCTAATGAAATTTAAATTTAAAAAAATAAAAAAGACATTTTCAAGTTCAAGGGGAAAATCTTAAATTTTAAAATAATTTAAAAAAATTTTTGTTTTGTTTTTGGGTCCATTTCTTCGGTTCAAATAGAATTCCGTTAATTTAATTCTTGTATACAAAAAGTATCACCATTATTCATCTCTAGAAGTTGTAATCCTCTACACTACCAATACGAACTGCATGGCCATATACTTGAGAAAGTTTCCTCAGTAAAGTACCTGGATGTTACCCTTCAAAGAGAGGTCGGCTAGGACGAGCATATTAACAATGTATGTAACCAAGCAAACAAGACCCTGGGGTTCTTAAGGCGAAATCTGGATATTGGCAACTCCTGTGTAAAAGAAAGAGCATATAAAGCCTTTGCCCGTCCGATTTTAGATTATGCATCTTCAGTCTGGGACCCATTTACCCAGAAGAGCATTGACAGGTTGTAGGCTGTCCAGCGACGGGTGGCTCGTTTTGTCCTGAACCGATACAGGAATAACTCTAGTGTTGGCAGTATGCTGGAAACACTAGGCTGGTCACCATTGGAGGAACGACGACGACAATCCAGGCTCTCCATCATGTACAAAATAAATAATGGGCTGGTCCACTGCTCCAGCATTAAACAGAAACTCGTCCCTCTCCCCCACAGACATCGACGAGGCCATGACAGGCAATTCCGGCTCATACCAGCAAGAAGCCAGTGTATGAATTGCTCATTCCTGCCCAAGACAATCAGGGACTGGAACAAGCTTTCAAAAGAAACAGTTGAGGCGACAACACTAGACACATTTGTGTCTATTGCCTCAAGCCTTCCAACCCCCATTGCATGATTCCTTCACAAAGTAGCACTTGTAATCATTGAAATATCCTCATCAACACCAGGCAGAGAAACATTGCAAATCCCCTCTACATGCATACGAGCCAAAATGATCAATAAATTGATCGTGGGCCCTTAATATATAGAAGAAGAAGATGATTAGAAACAGATATTCATTCTTCGATAAATTTTGCTTTAATTTGCTAAAAATAGTGGACATTCTTATTTGAATTTGTAACACTGATTTATAACAACAAAAGCTATTTTTCAAGCTAATTATTGGTATCAACCCGAAATGTAAGCCTCATATGATCAATGACAAGTCACCCAAAGTGGCCTCCAGGTTTCAAGTTACCTCCGTAAAATGCATGCATGATATTTCCATGCCGCTTGAAGAAAGAAAATCAGCGAAGAATAAAAAAAAAAAGTCGTAATACTTCGAGTTGTAACTATAAATATATGTCACTATTAATATCTGTCACTGCTAATATCTGCCACTGCTAATATCTGTCACTGCTAATATCTGTCACTGCTAATATCTGCCACTGCTAATATCTGTCACTGCTAATATCTGTCACTGCTAATATCTGCCACTGCTAATATCTGCCACTGCTAATATATGTCTCTGCTAATATCTACCACTGCTAATATTTGTCTCTGCTAATATCTACCACTGCTAATATTTGTCACTGCCAATATCAGCCACTGCTAATATCTGTCACTGCTAATATCTATCTCTGCTGATATCTGCACTGCTAATACCTGTCACTGCTCATAGCTGTCACTTTTAATTACTATCACTGCTAATATCTCACACTGCTAATATCTGTCACTGTTAATATCTGTCGCTGCTAATATCTGTCACTGTTAATATCTGTCACTGCTAATATCTGTCACTGCTAAGGTCTGTCACTGTTAATATCTGTCACGGATAATATCTATCACTGCTAATATCTGAATCTTTCACTTCCAATATAACTATAGCTACGACCAAATTCATTTCAAACAAATTTCCGGTTACCTTGAAAAATATCCTCTCAAAAAATGCTGTTTTTATTTGTTAAAATTCCATGATTCCCAGATTTGTTTTCGTGGCTGGCTCTGTTTCCATATCATTTGTGGATGAAGGTGAGTGAATAGATTTGTATCCATATCATTTGTGGATGAAGGTGAGTGAATGGATTTGTATCCATATCATTTGTGGATGAAGGTGAGTGAATGGATCTGTATGAACATCCTTTTTGATTAAGGTGATTGTGGCGTTTTTGTTAAAATAGTTATCAACGTGGATAGTAAAAAGCTTAAACTAAAGTTAATTTTTTTGTTTTTAATAAGCAATTCGTCACACATTGCCACTAAAAATATTTTCCAGCAATGATGATACATGTATGTATATCTGGCAGACTTTCCATGGCTGATCTTCCCTGGTTTTCTCCTTGTAAGTTCAGGTGGAATGGCACTATACCTGACCAACAACCAGGTAGGTCAATGTAAGAGGGCCATGTAAAGGGGGAGAAATGGGGACCGCCTAGGGTGCCAGCCTCAGGGGGAACAAAAGCCAAAACCATCCTTAGATTTTCAAAGGCATACGACTATATAATATATTATTTATTGATGAAAAGGGGTGGGTAGCCAATTTTAGAGCTTTTACTCAACACGCTCCTGTAGATACATGAAAGTAAAATGGTTCTCAGCCTGTGGGAAGTGGTTCTCAACCTGTGGGCCACGACGACCCTCCCCCGGATCGACTGACGACATTTCAGGGAATTTCAGAATATATATTTTAAAATGAAATTATAATTTGTGATTGGGCTATTTTCTTATTATTACTACAATCTGACTACACTCTAGAGACAAAACAAAAAAATAATAACATAAAATAATAATAATTAATAAATAAAAATGGATCATAAAATAATTGGTTCTTTCGGTAGATGTCAACTGTTAATAGTGTTAATACTTTGCCAGTGTCTTTACTTTAAAATATGACGTGATTTAATTGTTTGTTTTTTTAGTATTGTTAATTGTTTCCTCTCTTTTTTTTTGGCCTAAACTTAGAGTCTGGCAGCTTCCAGGCAAAAGCTATGACTAGCTGCGTTAATTTATTTTTAGGGATTGACTTACATAGGCCCCTCTACAGACCCCCATCATTCTTAACCCTTATTTCTGCTTCCCTCCACCCCTGATCAAAATTGCACTACCAACACTATTTAACTACAATAAAACAAGTTATCCCCCTTCTCATTAACTGTCTCGTAATCTCAAGGTGTAATTATCATTGTGGGGCCCAGCACTAAAAAGGTTGAGAACCGATAGGTTAGGATTTTTTTTATTTAGCTATTAGTGTTTAAATGACCTTCACCTTTGATGCCTTCGTGTTCGCTGGTGGTTCTATAAACACACTTTTCTCTTCTCCCCATTGGGTGAAAGACAGAAAATTAGAAGATGACTTTTTTTTTTTTTTGGAACACCCGGACCTGGAATCGTAAACGCTGGTTTTTTTCGCAAATACCGCGATCCGGACCGGATGATCCAGCCCTAATACTGAGTCACCCTGGAACATGTAGAATTAGAAGGATTGAACTCTTCAACTGTGTAGCAATAAAAACCTCACGAATGGTTAAATCTTGACAATGTCAATGAATCATCTATGCATTTTTTAGTTTTTGGTCGTTTATGAATGTTGTTTAATAATTTTGAGGAGAAGCCAATTTTGAATCATTGAGATTGTTATTTTCACAATGTAAAATTCAATTAAAATGATGGTAAGTCGTGCGGTCGTATGTCTTGCGACTTCAAATACTGGAGAATAGGGGCACGAGATTAAACAGGGTTGTAACTCCGATTTTTGTGATAGAATTTTACTGTTTTTGTGAATTATCCAGTCAACTGCTATCGACACATCAATTAACTCATCCATCCATCTACCATCCATCTACCATCGAACCATTCATCTAACATTCACACATACATTCTCCAACTTAACCATCCATCTATCTACCATCGAACCATCCATCTAACATTCATACATACATTCTCCAACTTACCCATCCATCCATCTACCATCGAACCATCCATCTAACATTCATACATACATTCTCCAACTTACCCATCCATCCATCTACCATCGAACCATCCATCTAACTTTCATACATACATTCTCCAACTTACCCATCCATCCATCTACCATCGAACCACATATTTAGCATTCATACATACATTCACCTACTTACCCATCCATCCACCTACCATCGAACCACCCATTTAGCATTCATACATACATTCACCTACTTACCCATCCATCCACCTACCATCGAACCACCCATTTAACATTCATACATACATTCACCAACTTACCCATCCATCCACCTACCATCGAACCACCCATTTAACATTCATACATACATTCACCAACTTACCCATCCATCCATCTATCATCGAACCATCCATCTAACATTCATACATACATTCTCCAACTTACCCATCCATCCACCTACCATCGAACCATCCATTTAACATTCATACATACATTCTCCAACTTACCCATCCATCCACCTACCATCGAACCATCCATCTAACATTCATTAATACATTCTCCAACTTACCCATCCATCCACCTACCATCGAACCATTCTTGTACTATACACCAAACAGATATCCTATATGTTTACGAGAGGTAGTGCGGCTCTAGTGGGTCTCTTGTGTGGAGCTTTGGAGGCTTCGTCATTTGTACAGACAGTTATAAAGGTAATCTGTCAAAAGGTGATCTGTCAAAAAGGTCATCTGTCAAAAAGGTAATTTGACATCAATTTTAACTCAAAGAATCAAGGTTATTGAAGAATTCAGTCATTTAGATAATCTCTCCTCAAAGCTATTTGTCTTCAAGGTAATCTATCATGAAGGTAATTTTTTATTAAGGTCATCAACAAAATCCCTATACTTGATGTTTTCTCTGCATCTCCACCGCCTTCTGTCTTCCATCAGTTAGCCTATGAACATGACGTCAGCCTTCGAGTCTCCTACTTGATACTGGCAGGCCTCTTCTGCGTCACACTGGTCAGCACATTTCTATTCTTACCCAAAGACTTCATCACCGCCAGTCCTAAGACACAAGCACCACGTGACACCGGTGACTTGCGAGGCAAAGCTTTTTCTTACGAGGTCAAGGAAACAGGTAAGCTTGGCATTCAGGAGCAGGTGACTCACCAACTGGCATCGCCTGACAACCCTGGCATTGTCACAGAGGATGGCTCACTAGCTGTAGAAAGACAAACATTCGATACACCCCAAGTCAATGATGAGATGGTCGAGACGTCGTTATCACAAGAAGCGCCGGTATGTGAATATTCGAGCAGATGTTTCATAAAATAGTTGTTCCAAAACAAAAATCGATCTTGTATTAATCATATTGTTACGCACTGACTTGTATTGGGAGAAATTAATCTCCTATTTTAATTTTAATTGGCTCGTTGTAATCAGTGCCTAACAAAGGACGATACCACAGAATCAACAATATTAAAGATACGACCCAAATTAATCTCCTATTTTAATTTTAATTGGCTCGTTGTAATCAGTGCCTAACAAAGGACGATACCACAGAATCAACAATATTAAAGATACGACCCAAAACAGTTTCTAGTTACAATTAATAAGATTTATTAATGTCTAAAGATAATTACAAAATAAAATAAAATAAAATTACAATCTTCAACTTACAGTATGATGGATCTCGTACCGGTACACAGTTAATACAATTAGAAATAATGATGCCAATAAATAATGCGAAATAAACACATATAAGTAGGAGCACACAAATACACAAAGAATAAAACACGCCTCGTAATGTTAAGAAAATCTATCTCAAATCTCCGTCTGTCTGTCCTCGTCCGTGCCTGTCAATCCCTTATATAGGTGGGTCTACCGACGCCTAAGCCCTGCCTTCGATAAGCTTCTAGAAAAATCAAAATCATTCTACAAAATACTATTTGGAACAGATTAATTATTTTTATTCGTTGGTGGCGTAAACAAGAAATACATCAAAGACCTAAGCCACACCCCTTTGTGAACACAGCGTCTCATGCGGGGTCAATCAGAGGGCACGTACGAGAAATATTGTGTAAACAAGCTCTCTATAACAATATGATCACATATTAATCTTATGGTCAACATATTAACCTTATGGTCAACATATTAATCTTATGGTCAACATATTAATCTTATGGTCACATATTAATCTTATGGTCAACATATTAATCTTATGGTCACATATTAATCTTATGGTCAACATACTAATCATATGGTCACATATTAATCATATGGTCAACATATTAACCTTATGGTCAAATATTAATCTTATTGTAACCAATTATAATGGAGGTGTTCTCATAAACAATAATCGGGAATTTCCTGTTTGACAGATATATGACGTAAACGAGAAAAACACGACAGACGGGAAGATAAACCAGGACTCACAGCTCACAAAACCAATAGACAAGGAATCTGAATCTGTCGGCCTTGACCCATTCACTGGTCGAGAGAGTGACGAGAAAGTTGGCCCCCATACAGGCAAACAACTGTTCCAATGTTTACGGTCCAAAACATTTCTGCTCTATATGCTATGGGCTTGCGTCGTCCAGATTGTGCTGGCCATGTGTCTGGGGACGTTCAACCCGTGGTTGGAGTTTGTCACTAACAAGAACAACCAGGAAGGTGAGGACTACTCAACCTGAACAGTTGCGTCATCGGGTGACCGAAGTTACCAGGGCCGTGGCAAGCTATAGCTGAGCCCGGGGCACCACTGAATTTACGCGCCCTCTTCCAAACAAAAATTTAAAAAAAATTAGTGAATTAGTTTGGTGTCACCCGGTGCGATAACAGTTGGGTGGGTTATAACAGTTGGGCGGGTTATAACAGTTGGGCGGGTTATAACAGTTGGGCGGGTTATAACAGTTGGGCGGGTTATAACAGTTGGGCGGGTTATAACAGTTGGGCGGGTTATAACTATTAGATCAATCATTAAGTGGAAGTTTATAATAATATTAAAATATTAGGTGTAATTAGAAGCGGCCCGCGAAGGGTTTAATCACTATCAAAGTGGCCCGAGAAGGGTTTAATCACTATCAAAGTGGCCCAAGAAGGGTTTAATCGCTGTCAAAGTGGCCCACGAAGCCTTTTGGGTTGCTTGCTCACCCTTGTCCTAAGGCCATAAATATAAAACGTTGAATTTGAGTTTTTAAATATGCATCAAATTTAAAAAAAAAAAAAAAGAAGCATTCAATTGTACAGTTAAAATGACCCTTTCTGGTCTTCATTGGTGAAAAACGGTCATCCAAATGAACAATCTTCACCTTGTCACCATGAAATGGAGCTGAAAGACTGGACTGTTCAAAGGACGTTTTAGGTTAGAAAGCTCCTCTCACATGAAGCCACGGAAATAGAGATCGTGAGAAATAATGGACAACGCTTATTGAGAGGCTTGAGAGACAAGAATTAATTGATCTACATGGGAACATCGGTGAAAGGCGCCCAAGAGAGGCACACCAGTTGAAGTGATCAATGTTGTTGGTGAGAGGCACACCAGTTGAATTGATCAATGTTGTTGGTGAGAGGCACACCAGTTGAATTGATCAATGCTGTTGGTGAGAGGCACACCAGTTGAATTGATCAATGTTGTTGGTGAGAGGCACACCAGTTGAATTGATCAATGTTGTTGGTGAGAGGCACACCAGTTGAATTGATCAATGTTGTTGGTGAGAGGCACACCAGTTGAATTGATCAATGTTGTTGGTGAGAGGCACACCAGTTGAATTGATCAATGCTGTTGGTGAGAGGCACACCAGTTGAATTGATCAATGTTGTTGGTGAGAGGCACACCAGTTGAATTGATCAATGCTGTTGGTGAGAGGCACACCAGTTGAATTGATCAATGTTGTTGGTGAGAGGCACACCAGTTGAATTGATCAATGTTGTTGGTGAGAGGCACACCAGTTGAATTGATCAATGTTGTTGGTGAGAGGCACACCAGTTGAATTGATCAATGCTGTTGGTGAGAAGCACACCAGTTGAATTGATCAATGTTGTTGGTGTTCTCAACCGTTGAGTTAAAGCACTCATCGTCTTCCGGCCATAACAATGGCGATCACTTAAGTTTTGAACTAGTTTCTATTTCTTGTCGTATTTTCATTTGTTATGTATGCTGAGGAAGGCACTAAATCGAAATGTTATAATCTTATTTCCCGTCTTTCGATTCAAGCTTCCACATAACTTGCTCTACTACTTCCTTGACACAGCTTGAACGCAGTCCTTCATTGATTATCCTTTATTCACTGTCTGAACTTTGTGTGACGTCTTTCCTAAGACCGTATTTGGAAATGGCGAGGGCACCGCCTTGGTGTCAGTTATAACAACATTAGGATTCAACTCTTACGGTTTTTTATTGGTTGACATTATGGAGAGTTCAGTCTTGGTGATACAGGGGTGGGGGACCCACAGTGCTAAAGCTGACCAACTGGCAAGCGTATTGATTGCAATCGGACGAAGAAGCACGCCTTTGGCAGTGACAACAGATCAATCAAGACATTGGAAGGTAGAGGTCAAAGGTACAGGGGTGTGAGGGACACCCACAGTACAATGGCTGACCATCTAGCACGCGCATCAGACAGCACGAGAGTGACGATGACACTATTATAATTAGGCATTAGCATGCGAGGCCGAGTGGCTAGTTCATGTCTGTTTAGACGGAGGGAAGCGTTAGCTTAATTAGAGTACCAGAGAATAGAAATAGAGTAGCACTGGGAAGGAATCTCTAGAGACGTCACGACCGATTCGTGGACTTACAAAAGGGGAGCGTTGGACGGGACAAGGGAGAGCTCAGCCGGACAGGAGTAGAGGACAGACGTGAGAAAACAGTAACGAAAGAGAGAGAAGAACCGGGAGAGTCAGAGCAGAGTTCAAAGTCTTGAGTGTGTGAACACTATAGCAGATGCATTAAGTGAAAGGCTAACCATCAACGTGTTGTTACCTGATTGTTGGAGTACGAGAGACCGAGTCAACGAGGTTAACATCCAGAGAAAGGAGTTAGAGAATGAGATTAGAACAGAGACGGTCAAAGTTAATCTATGTGTGTCTTGGCCGTCATCCATGTGTTAAATTAAATAAAAACGGCATGTCGAAGAGCTTATGCTTTATGCTTGGATGTGGAAGTGTCCAGTTCGATTTAGGTTGAATGCCAATTTACACATTTACACACATACATTAGTGAAGTTCTCTTTTTTTTATTAACAAAAATGCGGCTATTGTTTTTCCCAGTGAGTCGGTACACAGATGTGTTGTTTTACTCTATGCTCGGGAGTCCTGTGCTGTCTCTGTGTATCGGAGTCGGGATGGACATCATGAACAATGGTGATAAGAAAGGTATTTGTTTTGTTTGTTTTCTTACCATTAAATTAATCGATTCCATTTTGAGATTTTTACAATTAATGTTATCATATTGACTGGCATCGATTATAATTCTATATCAGTATCGAAGTGAGAAATTTAATAAAATAAATATATTATACAGTCATCTTTCTTTTATGTTATGTCTCAACACTTGGTTCCCTATCTGTGATATCAAGAAATATCTCTTCATCTTATTATCCACAGACAAAAGGGCTGAAGTTATCCAGACTCTCAGGACATCCGTTGTGTCATTGGGTGCCACCAGTGTCATGGCCGTGATCCAGTGCGTTCTTGTCATCACGTGTCATCATGACGTCATTGTCATCTCCAGTGTCATGCTGGTCATCTTTCGAACAGCCCTGTACAGCTGTGGGACGGCTTTCCTACGTATTATGTCAGTAACTTAAAGACGGTTAATTTTTCTATGAGATTATGTTATAGCATAGATCAGTTGTGATCAAACTATCCATTTTACGTTTGATTGGGTGGTCTCATCACGTGACGTCGATCTAATTTTAGCTTTTTTAATTTTGAACTTTCCAACCACGATTTTTAAGCAACGTTCCTTTCTCCTCATTATTATGGTCCTTTTATTTTGGTGAGACTATGTTATAGAGTCTGTTATATCGTCACCTCAACCAATGACATAAGAGGTCTTCCTGTTTTATTAGTCTCAGCTTCACTTCTCGCATATGTACCTCGATTATTCTTTTCTCTTCAGTTTTTGTAAATTTTATTATTCCAATTATTAGATTAATTTAAAGATGCCACATTCAAAAATGTGATGTTGATGTTTTATATCAATTTATCTAATAATTGTTTTTAAATCTTTCTTGATATATATCGTTTGTTCCCATTCAGTGGCGTCACTTTGTTTGGTGTCATACAGGGAAGTCATATAGGAGCCAGAATGATCTAATCATAGATCGTGGGCCCACAGAATAAAGAAGAAGAAGAAACTAATAGTGTCCCCATTACAGGATCCCCTAACAAAGCTTCTCAGAGTCTGCCTGAGTGAATATTTTGATTATTTCACAGGTATCAGAGTGGATACTTTGATTGTTTCACAGGTATCAGAGTGAATGCTTTGATTGTTTCACAGGTATCCGAGTGAATACTTTGATTGTTTCACAGGTATCAGAGTGAATACTTTGATTGTTTCACAGGTATCAGAGTGAATACTTTGATTGTTTCACAGGTATCCGAGTGAATACTTTGATTGTTTCACAGGTATCCGAGTGAATATTTTGATTATTTCACAGGAATCCGAGTGAATACTTTGATTGTTTCACAGGTATCAAAGTGAATATTTTGATTATTTCACAGGTATCCGAGTGAATATTTAGATTATTTTACTGGTATCAGAGTGAATACTTTGATTATTTCACAGGTATCTGAGTGAATATTTTGATTATTTCACAGGTATCAGAGTGAATATTTTGATTGTTTCACAGGTATCCGAGTGAATATTTTGATTGTTTCACAGGTATCATAGTGAATATTTTGATTATTTCACAGGTATCAGAGAGAATATTTTGATTGTTTCACAGGTATTCAAGTGAATATTTTGATTGTTTCACAGGTATCCGAGTAATTATTTTGATTGTTTCACAAGTATCCTAATGAACATTCTGATGGTTTCACAGGTATCCAAGTGAGTATTTTGGTATCTTGTGCGGCATCATGTCTCTATTGGCTGGTGGTTTCAGCTTTTTACAGTATCCTTTGTTTTTGTGGATTCAGCATAGAGACCAAGCCTGGAAGGAGGTAAGGATAATGGATTTATACACCCATAATTGCAGTGGCGTGTTACTAAGACCATTTTGTTAGATAAATTATCGTTTTTTAATATATGAAATTTAGATATCTTTACTGTTCTACTGTTGATGTAATAGTTTAATAAACTCATGTGTCGTTCAATTCGGGTGCACTAAGTTGTTGACACTGACGACTTGAAGGGATGTGATGGTTGAATTGTTCATTCTATGTGACGCTAAAAAGATTTCAATTTATTAATTGTAACCCTCCCAATTCTCCCCACTTCCTGGAGATATATCCAAGATCATCATATATAAAATGTATCATAGCTTGTGGTAATCTGAGCCTAGAGACCTAGAAATGAGATCTGAATGTTTCAAGAACAGCAGTATTTTTAGTAGGATTATTTTAGGAGTAAAGTCTTCTAATGGGGCTCTATGCTACACTAGTCTCAGAGAAATCACAGTAAACGTTCAATTTTACACCCAGGTCTATTACATTCCACAGTAGTATTTAAGTCAGTTTTTATGGAACGCTGTGTATACCCATATACATAACAAATTTTACATACAGCTTAAAAGCGATTTATGCTTATATCATATTCCATTTTCTGCGTTGCCTCAATGTTACAATGTCTGATTTCTTTATTTATAAATAAAACTAGAATAAATGACCCGATGTTTTCGGGATAATAATGGTAGGCCCTTTGCGATAATTTCTACCTGCTATTGCAAAAACTCATCACTTCATATGGTTTGTTCTTATTTGGATGAGTTATAAGTTGAGTAGTGTATGCTATTTATCTTTGAAGTTTTGCTGCACTGATTGACTTAAACTGCAATTTCTTATTAGAAGTATAATTAAATGTTAAGTTTTTATTACGTTATAAATTTAATAAAAGTATATTTTTGGAATTAAAAAAGGGAAAAACTTATTAAATGTTAAAAATACAAAGATAACATTTGTGTGTGTTTTATTAACAATTAAAAAAGCAATTAATTATATTTATTAATATTACATTTAAGAACGGAAAATACATTATCATTTTTTTTAACGGGCGGTTATTAAATCAAAGAAGCTTAAGAGTTTTTGCTAACATAGGTGATTTGCGCTATGACGTGATTTGCGTGTTTATTTAGAATTTTTTTTTTTAAATTATAATTTTATTTCGCAATATTAACAACGCACTAAAACGCACTAAAAGAAACTGATGTGTGGGGTTTCCCGATAAATGAAATTAAGGTCTACTAGTGCTGGTTCTCCCTTGCATACCCCATCAAGTTCCAAATCCCAGTCATCATGGATCTGCGGAGCATGTGACCATGTTGTACATGTGGAGGAAAGGGGCGTTGCCTGTGAACAATGTGGGCAATGGTTCCATCGTCAATGCCAAAGCATCGACACTTCTAATTACAACCAACATGCTAAAAATTCTGACGTGCCATGGCACTGTACTGTCTGCGGCTGCCAGATTAACCAGTCTGTGTTTGACCCACATAGTGCAGGGACAGACTCTACCTTCCCAGATTTCTCTCTGAACCACTCAATCTCCACACCAAGAGACATTCGAAGTTTTCAACCACCACACTGCTCTACTCCTATGCGCTGCAGTCAACAAGACAAATGGAGACACAGGCCATTGCGCATATTAAATGTAAACTTCCAGTCTGCAAGTGGTAAGCGAGTAGAGATAGCTAACCTAATTAACAGCCTAAAACCCGACATCATCTTGGGCTCTGAAACATGGCTGAATCCCTCCATAGCAAACGCAGAGGTTGTACCAGATATATACAAAGTATTTCGTCGAGACAGAAAAGACAGAGGAGGAGGAGTGCTTGTTGCAGTCCATCACAACTTGGACTGCCACGCTGTTCCAGAACTCGATGTTGACGACTGCGAGATCCTGTGGGTAAAATTGAAACTAAAGGGTAGACGCACACTTTACGTTTGTGCCTATTACCGACCAAACACAGCAGATGAACCAAGCCTGAGGAGGTTCGAGGTATCGCTTCACAGAGCAACACAGTCAAAAAACGCTTTTCTCCTTATAGGGGGGGATTTTAACTTTCCTGGTTGGAATTGGCAGATTCCTGCCTTGAAGCCCAAGTCCCCATACCCTGTTCTACACTCAGAATTCATGGAGATAATTAACAACCATGGTCTGGAACAGCTGGTTAAAGAACCCACGAGGGGGGAAAACACTCTTGACCTACTCCTCACCAATTGTCCACATCGTGTCCAAAAAGTTGAGGTCATCCCCGGGATTTCGGACCACAACATTCCTTATTGTGAATTTCAGGTCAACACACTAAAAATGAAACAAATCATTCGAGAAATCCCAATTTATGCCAAGGCAGACTGGGATGGCCTAAGGATTGCAACCACAGAGCTAAGCTCAAACATGAAGGTGATTCAAGGTACAGCGACAACAGACGAGCTGTGGGTGAAGTTCAAGACTACAATCACTGATGCAGTGAAGAAATTTATACCACACCAAATCACCAAACCTAGGATAAATCAGCCATGGGTCACGGCTGAAATCCGTAGGCTCATCCACAGGAGAGACCGCCAATACAAACGCATGAAGAAAAATGGCTCGATGGAACTGAGAGAGGAGGTACTGAGACTCCGCCGAACCATTCAACGCTTATTGCGTAGATCGTATTGGAACTACATGAACGGCATCTTCTCAGAGGAAGACACCCCGACCAAAGATGTCAAGAACAAGCGCTTCTGGAGCTATGTGAAACACCAAAAGTCCTCAAACGCTGGAGTTTCCCCCTTGAGGTGGGATGGCCAATTGACATCTGACCCAAAAGCACAGGCGGAGATACTCAATCAGCAGTTCCAGTCGGTCTTTGGTGACGGTAGAGAGTACTCTGAGACTGAGTTCCTTCTGAAGACCAAAATGATGAACAGAGCCTATCCTATCATGGGAGATATCCAGATATCAGAACAAGGTGTGTTTGCCCTCCTCAATACCATTAACCCTTACAAAGCATGTGGTCCTGACAACATTAAACCACGAGTGCTCAAAGAATTAGCCAAAGAAATCGCTCCTGCACTGACAATCCTCTTCCAATCGTCACTATGCACAGGAAATGTTCCAGCAGACTGGAGAACAGCGCATGTCACTCCAATTTACAAGAAAGGGGAACATTCCGACCCTGCCAACTATCGTCCGATATCCCTCACTAGCGTCGTCTGCAAACTGTTGGAGCACATAATCGTAAGCACTGTCATGAAGCATCTTGAAAGCAAAAATATACTCAATGACTGTCAACATGGCTTCCGAGTCAATAGGTCATGTGAGACCCAGCTTCTCGAATTTGTAGAAGACTTGATGACCAATCTGGAGAACCACAAGCAGACTGACGTGCTAGTAATGGACTTCGCAAAAGCATTTGACCGGATGAATCATAGTTTGCTTCTACACAAACTCCAGATATATGGGATTCAAGGCACCACTAAAACATGGATCTCTAGCTTCCTCAGCCACCGACGCCAAGCAGTAGTGGTGGGCGGTACAAGCTCCTCCTTTGTCAATGTGAAGTCAGGGGTCCCCCAGGGATCAGTCCTGGGCCCCTGTTTGTTCCTAGCATACATTAATGACCTACCGGAGAAACTGACATCACAGGCAAGACTGTTTGCAGATGACACAGCAGTGTATAGGACGATCGCCAACAGATCTGACCAGGACCAGCTACAACAGGATCTCAATCTGTTAGCTGAGTGGGAGATGAGCTGGGACATGGAATTTCACCCTGCCAAGTGCCAGACACTATCAATCTCTAGAAGTTGTACTCCTCTACACTACCAATACAAACTGCACGGCCATATTCTTGAGCAAGTTTCCTCCGTAAAGTACCTGGGTGTTACCATTCAAAGAGAGGTCCGCTGGGACGAGCATATTAACAATGTATGTAACCAAGCAAACCAAGCCTTGGGGTTCTTAAGGCGAAATCTAAAGATTGGCAACTCCTGTGTGAAAGAAAGAGCATATAAAGCCTTTATCCGTCCGATTTTAGATTATGCATCTTCAGTCTGGGACCCATTTACCCAGAAGAGCATTGACAGGTTGGAGGCGGTCCAGCGACGAGCAGCACGCTTTGTCCTAAACCGCTACAGGAATACCTCTAGTGTTGGCAGCATGCTAGAAACACTAGGCTGGTCACCATTGGAGAAACGACGACGACAATCCAGGCTCTCCATGATGTACAAGATAAATAATGGGCTGGTCCACTGTTCCAGTATTAAACAGAAACTCGTCCCTCTCCCCCATAGACAGCGACGAGGCCATGACAGGCAATTCAGGCTCATACCAGCAAGAAGCCAGTATAGGAGCTGCTCATTCCTGCCCAAGACAATCAGGGACTGGAACCATCTTTCAAAAGGAACAGTTGAGGCGACAACACTAGACGCATTTGTGTCTATTGCCTCAAGCCTTCAAACCCCTAGTGCATAATTTCCTCATCACCACCAGTAACAGAAACATTGCAAATCCCATCTACATGCATAGGAGCCAAAATGATCAATAAATTGATCGTGGGCCCTTAAGATATAGAAGAAGAAGAAGAGGTCTTATTCTTTGATCATAAGTTTGTTTATATTATTTTTTTTATAAATTTCAAACGCATTTAAAATGCTTAAGTTAGTTCTTTATTTGTTACTTTAAATGTATTTGTAATTTATAATAATACTTAATTTTTTAATTTAAAAAAAGCGGATAAATAATATTTTCTGCTCATTTAAATTGATTCGATTTCCGTAAAATAATAGAAAATAACTATGATGGTTTGTAGGAATCCGAACGTATCCAAAAACTTTCGTAGGTCTGGAGCTACGTTCAGTATAGCTTATTGTTATATACATATATATGTAAAGTAAACAAATAAATGCATGCGTCTCAAAGCCAAAAAGTACATAAATAAGTTTGCAGTCTCTTTCCGTATAAACTATGTATCTGCACATAGTTAAGATTGCTGAGTCTTTCTATATCAACTATTTACCCGTACTTAGTTAATATCAAAGAGTCTTTTCATATCAACTATGCAACCATACTATGTAATTCATTTATTTTATTTTATTCAGGTATTCGGACTTCTCGGTTTGCTAGGAATTATATCCCTTGTTCAGCCCTTGTACCTCTGCTGGAAAAGTACGACGATATCTTTGAGGGAGAAAGGTTTTTAATACCTTGCACACAATGTACGATTGTATATGAATAAACATTTTTACAATACTATCTCTTACTTAATTGATTAATTGCAATGAAACACCCATCGCTTTACGAAATAATAATGAGGTATCACAAAATGACAAGGTATCACAACACATGATCTAATGACAAGGTATCACAACACATGATCTAATGACAAGGTATCACAACATATGATCATATGACAAGGTATCACAACACATAATCTAATGTCATAATTATGTTTCTTTTGATAAAATTTTAATGTACAGCGCGGTGAGCCCATGGGTACCGCATTATATAAGACCTCTTATTATTATTATTATTAAGGTATCACAACACATGATATAATGACCAGGTATCACAACACATAATCGAATGACAAGCTATCACAACACATAATCTAATGACAAGGTATCAAAACTCATGATCTAATGACCAGGTATCACAGCACATGACCTAATGACCAGGTATCACAACACATAATCAAATGACAAGGTATCACAACACATAATCTTAAGACAAGGTATTACAACACATAATCTATTGACCAGGTATCACAACGCATGACCTAATGACAAGGTATCACAACATATCACCTAATGACCAGGTATCACAACAATGATCTAATGACCAGGTATCACAACAATGATCTAATGACCAGGTATCACAACACATGATCTAATGACCAGGTATCACAACGCATGACCTAATGACCAGGTATCACAACACATGATCTAATGACCAGGTATCACAACACTTGACCTAATGACCAGGTATCACAACACATGACCTAATGACAAGGTATCACAACACATGACCTAATGACCAGGTATCACAACACATGACCTAATGACAAGGTATCACAACACATGACCTAATGACAAGGTATCACAACACATGACCTAATGACCAGGTATTTATAGACCCATTTTTTTCTTTAGAACCTGATTCCCTCCAACTTTCTAGCTCCTTCTTTCTCTTTATCTCACTCTATGTATTTCCCCCCTCCCCGCTTCTTTCATTGTTTCTCTTCCTTTTTTCTCTTTCCCCCATGTGTTCAATTCTTCCTTTACATTAGTGTGTCCAGGACGAAGTTATTTAACTATCGGACGTATCTTACTTCTCTTGACATTCACTATCGGACGTATCTTACTTCTCTTGACATTCACTATCGGACGTATCTTACTTCTCTTGACATTCACTATCGGACGTATCTTACTTCTCTTGACAATCACTATCGGACGTATCTTACTTCTCTTGACATTCACTACCGGACGTATCTTACTTCTCTTGACATTCACTATCGGACGTATCTTACTTCTCTTGACATTCACTATCGGACGTATCTTACTTCTCTTGACATTCACTATCGGACGTATCTTACTTCTCTTGACATTCACTATCGGACGTATCTTACTTCTCTTGACATTCACTATCGGACGTATCTTACTTCTCTTGACATTCACTATCGGACGTATCTTACTTCTCTTGACA